CTCGTCAAACACAAAAGATTCTGCAATATAGTAGCGCATTCTGCAGTACTATTTATTAGATACCATAGTCGGTGAGGTATTAATAAATTACTCCCATAACAAAACTCACTGAACAAATGAAAACATTTTACTGCATCTGATGACAAACAAAGAATTCGACTGGAAACAGCGAAACAAATGGCAGGTGGCATGACCATGCACTTCAACTGAGAGCTCCCTACCCCTGTTCGTTGGGGACACATGCCACCAGATGATAGAAATCAGACTCGAATAAGAAATTTTGCACGTACCGCAGGCTCCAGCCGATGTTGTCAAACGCTATGAAACAGCCTTGGATGCCTATATGCGTGAAGGTTATTTGACCCTGGACAGGTATCATCCACTGACACATAATTGGATGATACAGCCAACCCTCAAAACGCAGCTGGGTCATAGCAGTGTCCCTCCTGATGACGTCACCAAAATATATATCGTAAAACAGGTATCTGAGGTTATGAATCCGTAGTATATCTCCACGTGTTCTGATACAGCACAATATCTCATGGGCCAAGTTCAGCCGCGGAACTTGTTGATCTTCAATGACTGGATCGAAGTCAGCCTGTAATTCCTGAAAGACCGTTGGGCCGTTGTTAGAATCATCTTCAATGAAGAGTTGTGGATCGCCAACGCTGAATATGGCATTCAGGTCGGTGGGTTCATTGGGCACTTCTTCCGTCGCTTCAGATGATCTCTGACCTTCAGGGCCTGCAGTCATTTCGTCGTTAACATTTTCGTCGTTCACCACGTTTTCGTCCGCCATACCCTACGGCAAGAAGAAAGAACAATTATCACAGGCAGAAAACAAGCGAGTCAACCGACCTCCTAATTTCGACCGTCGTTCTGTCGATGCAGTGCCTGTACTGGAAATAACCACTGCGAGAAGCACGTCTTCAGATCAACAGCACTGATTAAATCACTCCCCCCGAATGACTACTGCCGACACGCCGCACTCACCGGGCGCCGTGAAGTCGTCGGAGCTGGCGACAAAAGGGCCGGCTATAAAAAA